ACCAGTATATAAGCACACAGGCCTGAAATACAGGTCAGCCTCATACCAGCGTGCTCTCCTGTTTCCCATTCTACTCCACCTCTTGGGAAGTAAACTACTGCTCATGACCTGATAGATTCATTTCAGAATCTATTAATTAATCTATTAATTAATCTTTTCACTGTTGTGCGAAACTACTGTTAACTGCACTAGTGATTTTCTTTATGTTATGTTGGCTAGACACAATTTACGTACAGCAAAGCTAGTCCTCTTAAGCGGACAGCTGTATGAGGTTTGACAGAGGCAAATAATCATGTAATTACCACAATAAAGACACAGAAAAGCTCCGTTGCCCCCCAACATTTCCTCATGCCGCTTTGTAATCAACCCTTCCCACCCCCACAACCACCTTCACCAACCAGCCAAACACTGATTTGTTGTCTATTCCTATGGGGTTGTTTTTCCAGAATGTCATAATGAGCTTAATTTCTTCTTTTTTAGTTTCTTATGGTGGAAGCTTAGATCATGGGTTTGAGACTTTTTTCTAATATAAGTATTTCAGGCTATAAATATCCTTCTAAGTAATGCTTTTGCTGTATCCCACAAATAGTGAGATTTTGATATGTTGTCTTTTCATTTTTATTCAGGTCAAAACATTTTGCAACTTTCCTTGTGACGTCTCCTTTGACTCATGAGTTGGTTAGAAGTGTCTTGCATCGTTTTCAAATATTTGGGACTTTAATAGATACCTTTGATTTCTACATTCATTCCATTGTGATCTGATATTACACTCTGAATCATTTCAATTAAAAAAATTTTTTAACTATCATATTGCATAGAATATGGTATTAGAAAATGTTCCATGTGTACCTGAACAGAGTAAATATTTTACTGCTCTTCAGTGGTCCCTTTCTTCTAACAATCAAATCCCCTCCTGTGTCTCCCCGCATTACGTCACTCTCTAGACCCTTATACATTAATTTTTAAATATGTTTTGTCTAGGGTTTGTTATTCTTGTTTGTGAGATGGGTAGTCTTTTACAATTTATTCTACCATTTCCTATAGCCCGAACTCTCAAACATCTTGTAACAGAGAATTGTTATTTTTAAGCCAGTGTGTGCTGTGTTTTTTTGATGTTTCTCCCCCCCAAAAAAAAAATCCTAACTCATGCATACACAGAGGAGTTCACAATAAATACATTAGAATGCTAAGAATGTGTAGGGTAAGGGCTGGGGAACTCTATAAATAGAACTATTTTTGAGTCAATTTTACCTGTATTAAATTGAATTAGAAACCAATTTAACAGGAGGAACAAGCACATGGGGCTGTTTTGTTTACTTGTAAGTAGGTATCTACCAAGTGTTTCCAAAATATTTACAAATGAAGAAGGAAGAAAATGGAAGTATTACCTTTACACTGCGGAGGGTTACCACTCCATTCACCATTTCCAGTACAAACAAGTCTGCTCTCTCCAATAAGTGAATATGCATCTGGTCTACTTGATTGATCACAACTATAAGTTACCACTTCATTATATTCATATTCTTCCTTGCCACTATTGGTATATTTCCCATTTGTTATTTTTGGGGGTGGTAGACACAATATCCCTTAAAAAAGGAAAAAAAAAAAAAGGACATGAAAGGCAAAAGGAAAGGAAAAGATGAAGGTAACATTAGTGAAGTCCTATGAACTGCCTTCAATAAATTCATTAACACATGATTTCTACAAGCTGGCTATAAATCCAATATCCATTTACAAGAAAGTTTCTGTGAGAAAATGTATTCTTCCAAATTCAAACCATTAATATAGACATGAACTTTTAGCATAAAACTCATTTTCTTAAATACTTACAAAAGATACCTATATGAAATACCTATGTTTATCTGCAAGACCATTCTAAGTTCTCATCATAAGAGACGCTGATGCTTTAATGACCAAATATGCTTGTGATTAAAAATAAAACTCAGTGCTAGTTGAGAAATGCTTTATAATTTATAAATACTCTTGACACTTGAACAACATTGGGGTTAGAACTGATCCCCTGCAGTTAAAACTCCTCACATCTTTTGATTCCCCCCAAACTTAACTACTAATAGGCTATTACTGACCAGAGCCTTACCAAGAACATAAAAAGTTGATTAACACATATTTTTGGTATATGTAGTATATGCTGTATTCTTACAATTAAACAAGCTAGATAGAAGAAAATGTTATTAAGAAAACCACGAGGAAGAAGAAACACATTTACCATACTGTACTGTTAAAAAACCACAAGTGGACCCACAACAGTTAAAACCTGTGCTTTTCAAGAGTCAATTGTATAACCATTCACTAAATTGATAGTTCCCAGTATCAAAATATTATTATCTGTTTTCACTTTTATCCATATAAGTCTATGGTGAAATCATCCAGATACTATAAATTGTGTGATAACACCACCGACTGAATCCAGACATCTTCCTTTGAGCCAGATTTTGAAGAGATTTGCAAAAATGTAAAACAATACCCTATTCTATTCCTTGTGGAAAATTCTGCTTTTTTAAAATTTATTTATTTTTTGATGTTTGTTTATTTTTGACAGAGAGATGGAGTGCAAGTGGGGGAGGGGTAGCGAGAGAGGGAGACACAGAATCCGAAGCAGGCTCCAGGCTCTGAGCTGTCAGCACAGAGCCGAATGCAGGGCTCCGTCGAACTCATGAGCCGTAAGATAGGACCTGAGCCGAAGTTGGACGCTTAACGTACTAAGCCACTCAGGCACCCCGAAAATTCTGCTTTTTTAAAAAATTTGTTGGGGCGGCCTGGGTGGCCCAGTCAGTTAAGTGTCTGACTTCAGCTCAGGTCATGATCTCACTGTTTGTGGGTTCGAACCCCACATCGGGCTCTGTGCTGACAGCTCAGAGCCTGGAGCCTGCTTCAGATTCTGTGTCTCCTCTCTCTGCCCTTCCCTGCTCACACTCTTTCTGTCTCCCACAAATAAACATTTAAAAAAATTGTTGCATAGGTTAACATGCATTGAGCTTACAGTTCTTAAAAGTGAATTAATAAATAATTATGAATATCAATAGACATAACCTGCATAGGAAAAGCTCTTTGTGGTTTTTATTAATTTAAAAGCATAAAGGGATCTCAACAGCAAAATTTTATTTTTGTTGTTGTTGCTATAAGACTTTATTTTTTTAATATGAAATTTATTGTCAAATTGGTTTCCATACAACACCCAGTGCTCATCCCAACAGGTGCCCTCCTCAATACCCATCACCTCCCCTCCCC